TACTCCTTTTCCCATGGCTTGGCATAATTGTTGATTTTCTGATTAGGTGCGATTAACGCAAGTACTGCTTTAGCCTTTAAAAAAGCTTCTTGCGGTTAACAAAAACCTCAAAGTAAGACATCCGTACTTTTGAAGCGCTAAAGTCATTCCCAGAACTTTTGCTCCCTTGGGCAGAGCGGAGCTTTATCACCGCGCGCGACACTTAGTGGCTTGCAGATTAGCACAAATATTGCGCCACTAATGCGTTGGCGCGCACATTTGGAATGAGTCCAATTATTTACGTTTAGTTTTTGAATGCCATTCTTTTTCCTTATTCGGGTTTCTTGAGTTGCACGACTTATGTACCATTGGATATGGGAATGTTGTTTGACAAATTGTCAATTTATAGAGAAATATTTCTCCGTAATCCTAGGGATTTCAGGACTTGGTTACAATGGTGTTCACATGTACGATCAGTGGAGAACCGGCAGAAGAGCCGGTGGTATCACCATCAGGTCACATTTTTGAGAAAAGGCTTATTTTGAAGTACATAATGGAAAATGGCGTGGACCCTGTTTCTAACGAATCTTTGGAAGAACACCAAGTGAGAAGAGTTAATTTGATATATCTGTGCTTCAGGTTTCATCCTAATGGTAATTTTAGTTGATTCCTTTGAAAACTGGTTCTGTGGATACAATCCCGCGTAATGTAGCCGGTACATCAATCCCATCGTTGTTGAAAATGCTGCAGGATGAGTGGGACAGTGTGATGTTGAACAGCTTCTCTCTTCGTCAACAGCTACAAACAGCTAGGCAGGAACTTTCCCATTCACTTTACCAGGTGAATAATTTCTTACATTCTTGGAAAATTATTTGGCCTAATATGACTTTTCTTCTCCACCTGACCACTTTCGCATTGTTTCCTACCGCCTCAGTAAACACTTAGTTTAACAGTTTCTATTCGTAAAAAAATTTTTACACTTTGCCCTCCTCCCCTCACCTCCCACAAAAGTTTGCAAAAAACGTATTCCATGAGGATTTTTTTAAAATCTTAGTGAAACCATGCAGTAACATATTGAACTTCATTGTTAGTATCTCAACAAGTTTCCCAAATGTTTTTGTAGTTATTGATGAATTTGTAGATGTACTGGAACCTCAATTAATTTACCTCTGGTCAGGTGCAAATGAAAAACCTACATTAGTAGAAGCTATCTAGATCTTGAAGGTCCTTTCTGAAGGTCACTTCATTATGCAAGTAATAGTCATTTGAGTA